GTTCATCTTCATAATGACCAAAAGCATATTTTAGTTGAGGAGCATGCGTAACAGATACCTTCTCCAGCTGTAGAAGGCTTTGAACACAAGAGTTCAAGAATATATATTTCAGCTTATCACAGTCACAGATGGTCAAAGATTTCAATTGTGAGAACACCAAATCAGAATCATTTGAACGTGGAATAATTTTGTTGTCAATACTAGTACCATGTACTTCTATTATATTCTTCAATTCACGACAATGTTGTATATTCAGCTTTTGTAGCAACCACAAAGCTCTGATAACACATTTTGGAAAGAGCGACTTCAATTTGGGGCAATTGAATATTTCAAGCTCTTGTAATTTATTAAAAAAGCCAAGCAATGGTGGACCATGCCAAACTTTTTGTAAATTGCTCAGAAATTCCAATCTTAACTTAGTCAACTTTGGGAACCAAGCTTCTGCTTGCAACAAATCAACCTGACAGGAAGTTGCGTTTGTGTCTATCAGGCATTCCAAATTTGAACAAAAAGAAAGTGATAAGCTACTCAACTCATCCATCCCTCCTACTACTTCAATGGTGTTTGGTACAATATTTTTGCAACCACCATAAAGTCTTTCCAAGCTAGCAACTTCTGCTTGGTGTAAAAAGTCCTTAATAAATGAACTTGAAATGAAGATATTTAGATTTTCCAAGTGAAAAACTTTTGAGCTAAAATTCAACGGAGCGTTGCTGTCAATATGTATAGCAGATCCAGTGCTCCCAATTTTAATTTTATACCTCTGTAATCTTGGAAATGTGGCATTATTTAGAAAAGATTTACTAGGTTGTGGTTTTATTCTCCTTAGTTGGATTCTAGAAGCGTATAACTCCTCTAGTTGTATGCATCTTTCTATTACCTTGAAACTTTGCTCTTTGATTTCACACCTGACAAGTCCAACAGCTTCAACTCCTTCAAATCTTCTAATCCTTTTAGTAGCTCCCAAAACGAACTACCTTCCAAGTCAAGAATCTCAGGTCTTTTAAGTCCTACAACCCATGATAAATCATCACAAAAATCCCATCCTTGCAAGCAAAGAGTTTGAAGATTTGGTAACAGTTTCACAGGCTTTGGACACAAAGTAAATAATTGGACCAATGAAGAAGATCCAAAGACGATACCCATAACCTTGAGTGCCTCCACACCTCCAAAATCCAGTTCTGACAATTCAAATGAACTTCGAATTATTAGTAGTAGGACCTCAAGATTAGAAACATCAAGTTGTTGAGGAATTCGAGATGTTTCATTGCACCAAGAAGTGAATGCGTAATAATCTTTTATAGATTCGTATGTTAGTGCATTCATATCTTCCTGAGGATTTACCACAATAGTACGATCCTCTTTGGATGATATCCACAATGCCATATCGTGTATTATGTCATGCATTCTCAAGCAATTTTTCTTTTTCTCAGAGCGCATCAACAAACAAGAATCTATGAGATTGTTTATACATGCAGTCACTTTGTTTCTTGCCTTTTCGACTGATCCCACTTCATCACAAAGGCCTAAACCTACTGCAATTCTGAACAAATCTTTAATGAGAATATCTTCATCTTCTGGATACATGCAGCACATGAGGAAGATTAACTTGGCTTCATTACTCTTCAAATAATCATAACTCAATTGAAGACATGCAAAAGCATCCCTGACACCTTCTTCTACATCAACTGGTTTTGAATCCCTCAATCTTCTTAATGCATCCATCCATTCTTCAATGGACTTTCCTTTCAAAGAGGTTGCTACAGCTTCAATGGCAATAGGAAGTCCTTTACATTCCCTTACAATTTTTTATGCCACGCTATCTAATGATTTGTCAGCTATATGAGCACGTTTTTGGAACAAAGTCCACGATTCCTCTTCAGATAAGAAGTGCAAAGGAATTTTCGTTCCACACTCCATTATATAGCATAGTGAGAAGAACCTTGTGCCTCAGTCGATAATCTTCAAAAGGAATACCGATATCCTTCAAATCGATCTTAGCCCATACATCATCTAAAATAATCCTTTCCCCACTATTTAATCTCATTGACAAACGTCTTGCTCTTCCCGACTCACTCTCTCCATTAAATTTCAAGTCTAGCATGTCTGCAATTTCACCCTGAATCTTTCTCACATCTGGAGTTTGGGACACAGTTGCAAATACAACTCGATCAAAAAGCTTTAACTCCTTGGCTTTCTTGCCCACTTCTTGTACCAGCATTGTTTTACCAGAGCCCCCTATTCCATACAATCCAATCATGTGGATATCATCATCTTGCAGAGCCGCTAACAATTGATCTGAAGCCAACTTGGTGGACTGGAAATACACAAAATCTCCAGAAGAAAAATATTCTATATCTGGAAGTGAAGCAAGGACAGAAAAGGGATTAAATTCACTCCTTTCAATAAGAGTTCTTGTTGTCACCATCATTTTTTCCATCTGTCCACATAAACGATACCTCTTCCAGCTAGAACACCTCCGTCGAAAGCAGTTTCTGCCTTCCTCCATTTGCTGCTCCAGCTTCAGCACCTCATCCATATGATTTTTCACTTCACCCAACCACTTTTCAACTGCATCATCAATTCTTTCAGTTCTACTCAGCGCTTCTTGAACACGTTTCTGCACTACATCTTGAGCAGAGGCCAACCTTTGTCTCTCAGTTTCAAGACTCTTTTTGATTCTGTTTGCATGGAATAAATATTGCCCTTGACGTATCACTGGATCAAGCAAGTATTCTGCTAGTTTTGCAACAACAGATATTGCAATCTCTGCCATTCGAGCCAGCACAACCTGAAGAAGTAGCAGCTTTAATCCATCTCTATGTATGAGCTCTACTACTAATTGGGTTATTTTTAATCTCTAACCGTATCAGATCTACACAGTTAGATATTTGCTATGATGAAAATAACAACTTAATATCAATATACGTTTAAATAGAACTGATAAATAAGCATCATGCAGTCCATTCACGTCAAGGATTAAATATTTGGACAAAAGAAAATACGTCATGTTTCTTAGGATGAATAACATTGCAATATTTGTTTCGGTAAGCATGCAGAGACAATGATATAAATCTAATTCTAAATATAGGTCTACAATAAATATAAAAAAAAAAATCAAAACAGGATGGTCCTGTAGAGACATTTTAAATTCATAATACCAAGTAATTACTTTAAATTAAAAGACATTTTTGCAAGAAGCATCTCAAAAGCAATATTTGTAGCTTGGCAGAGGCAGCACCAAATGATCCTCTCAAGAGCATTATGGGATCATAATTAGATCAAATTAACTCTGTATCTCAGGATTTAAGAAAAATTAAATCTTCTCGCTGTAACAAGCCTATGATTAAGCAGTGACAAAAAGGTGAGGATGCAAAATGAAAAAGGGTACAATGAAAACCACATAAGCAGTAGTGAAAGTAGTTCTACATTTGATTGTAACGAAATGAATGGATATATAGGTACGTACCTTCAAGCAGGAGATACAGAGGAAGGTGAAGTGTGAAGGATGACTGATAAAGGCTAAAGGAAGCAAAGGCTTAGTTGTTTAACAATATGCCTTTTTCTTTATATATATATATATATATATGTATGTATGTATGTATAGATTAAATTTGACTCAAGACTGAAACGAAAGAGTAATCAGTAAGTAACAACTCGGAAATTAAATATTGATACAAGATTCATCCAGTAGTTGAAAACTGGAGAATGCTGGAATTTAATTATAAAATAGGAACAATATGAAAAGACACTATGTTTTATGGTTGTAATCAAAAGACAATCATGCTTTTTACGTTCCTTAATAGACACATTGGCTGTTCCCCTTGTGTAATTTCCATTGTGCTTCGTCTTTCCTTATTCGTATCAAGAATTTTAAATACCTTCTGCATATATATGTAGCCCCTCATTGGCTGTTCCCCTGGTGTAATTTCCATTGTGCTTCGTCTTTCCTTATTCGTATCAAGAATTTTAAATACCTTCTGCATATATATGTAGCCCCTCAGGACTTGTACCTGCTGCAGGGGAGATATATGTAGGGAAATTTCCGAAAAAAATGATAGTTAGATTGTCAAACCCAAAAGGCGATGCGAATTTGTACAATTTCGAATAATTAAGTCATAATGAGAGACTTGGAATTTTAAAATATTGGTGAATTTTAAATGTTTTTCTTTTTCTTTTTTTTTTTTGGGAAAAACAACCTCAAGTCACCCATGCTGGCAACTTTTTTTTTTTTTGGGGATTTTTTTTTAACCTTCGTAGCATGAGTAACAATTCTTTTAAAAGTACATAAGGTTAGCCGCTCATTTCTCCAAATTCAGTTGGGGCAAGACTGGATAAATTAGTCTCAATATCAGAGAAACTTTTATAGGAATGACTTCGCAAACAAGCCGAAGCTTGCTGGTAACAGCTTATAGTAATTCGATTGCCTTCCATCACAGGAGTCACAAGATTTAAGTTCGTAAACACTTGTAAAAGAGTCTAAGGATTCATTGATATATTGATGATGATAGCTAGATGAACAGTAATAACTAATTTCATTGGGCTGCGTGTAAAAGTGAGTTTTAAATGTTAAAATTCCTCCAACTCCAGTTTTTAATCTTTTTTTCATTTCGAAGTCAGCGACTTTTTCCTTCCCGATAATTTTTCTCTTTAGATGTGTTTCCAATTCTCTATCCTATTTCTCTGTTTTTTTTCCTCCTTTTCCTCAATTTCTTATCGCCCTTTCACTCTTTTACGCATCAGGTATCAGGTATGCATCTCCTCTCTACCTCAATTTCTTTTCATCTCTTTTGTCTCTCTAGCTATGGCTTCATTTTCTCCCTTGCTCTTCATCTATTTTTGGTTACCTTCCAACTGTTTTTTTTTTTTTGGATTAAATTCTTTGCCTTCCAACTTTGTTCTTGAGATACCTAGCAAATCCCACATGGAGATTATGTCTTTTGGCTTGTGGTAAGTTGTTTTCCCCTTCCACCTCATTCCCTTGGTGATTCAGATCAGAATAAATGTTATTCATGCGTTTATTTTTTTGATGGAAGCACGGTGTTAAAAATTTTAATCTTATATTTTCCTTTCATGATTTCTTTTATTCCTTTTTCTTCCACATTCTCTTTTCTTAGTTTCAGGGATCAAACATAAAGATCCTTTGACTACATATTTTCAGGAAGCTGATTCAAGGATGTGAGAGTTTGATCAAGAGGTCTCTATCTACTTTGTAGTTGTATTCTCATGTGCATATACTCTTCATGAGTTGCTTCAAACATCTTTTTTTGGTATTTATTTTCGTTTCCCCCAATTTTAACGCTTACTATTTCTCCCCCTATTTTTATTCAAAGTGGTTTGCTATCATGCAGAACTTGAGGTGTCCTACTTACTAAATTTATTCAAAGATGGATTTTCTATTGGAAAATGTAACACGGTCAGCATCATGATACTCAGGAGTTTCGCATGTCAGGCATTTATATTGCTTCTTGCTACTACTCGAATTTAATTTAATTCTCATTGATGATGCTAATTGTTGATTTTTGCCCCCACAATTCACCAGTCATCACGGAAAGAAAAAAGGTTTGCTTGAAGATGCACACCAAGCTTGAGAAAATGACCAAGAGATATTCAATAGTAGTAGACCAGAGGACACATGAACTGATGAACTTTTGCTGACATATAAATTACATTTGAGGTATGGTTCTTGAATTAGGCCCTTCGGTGTTTTGTCGGAATTTGTTGAGGTATTCTAAATATCAAGAGCAAACTCACTCATTGATTGTTATCCATGTCTTTCTCTTTTTGTTATTAGAACAAGCTTTCTTCTCTTTTTTTCGTTATTACATGGCTTACTCTTCTTATTATTTCTGTAGAATGGAAACTTATTTGCAGTTTATATGATTGGATTTTACGTCCTAGCTCTCATATGGTTTATTTGAGATCTGTCCTTATATTCTTATTTTGTTATTTTACTTTATGGATTAAGTTACATGTTCTATGGCAAGCCAATTTCTGCCGTATTTGAAGAACTTTGCAACTGAGCACCAATTCTATCCAAAACGAGGTATACTTTAGTTTTCAGTTGGTCATCTTGACTAACAATTAGGATATCATGATATTTTAACATAATCACTAACATGGTATGCTTTAGTATTCAATTGATCATCTTGATTGCTAATCATTTCATTCTCAAGATATATAGCAGATAATGCAATAGTATTAATAGAAATCATATTACTTGCTGTCAAAATAGTGGGATTAAAACACATTACTCTTAGTCTGCACTCTGAGTTACTGCTTCTGAATTTAAAAACTATAGAGATATCTTATTTTCATGCTTACAACATTAACCAAGTCTTAAATTAAGCATATACGTTATCTGCTATTGTACATCTAACTGTCAAGGATACCATTTGAAAGGATACTGACAGAAGTTAACCATCTTGTGTTCTATAAAGTTGCTTATCAGTATTTTAAATTGCAGTAAAAGGTGCAAAAAGAAGCTTGAAGGGTTAGACAAAGTTAAGGTAAGTTACTCTATTTTTATGGTAAATCTATTGCGTTTCTTATTTATCTAACATGTTTTCCTGTTATTGTCCAGATCTTTATTTTATGAACTTAAAAAGTAAGATGGTTGGCAGAAGTTTCTTGAAAGGCGGTCAACTTTGGGAATACAAAAGTTCTGGTATTTTCAAGGGCAGAAAATCAATAGACTTATCTTGCAGGATTTGCTTAGCTCTGAAAATCTTGTGATGTGTTGCAGGTTTGGACAAGTTGTGAATCATCATAAGGATTTAATACATATTAACACTTTTGTTCTTCCTTTTATTGAGTTATTTTAGTTAGTAAAAATGATTTGATACTGTTTCGTGCAACTGTATAAAAACAGGGCCATATGCTAAAGTCGTTATATTTTCATTTATTTTATTTTATCTTTTTTTTTTTTGCTATCCATTTATTTTATTGTATCTGCTATTGTTGTCCAGGAAAAATGTGATTTTCCACTATTGACTTGGATTGGTATTATAATAAATGCAAAATATTGAACCTTAATGATTGAAAAATTATAGGCAGTGGTATTGCTCACTATTTCACATTAGCTTGAATTTTTTTTTTTTTATGACAAAACGGTTATAAGGGATGTTGTGTCAAAAATATGATAAATGAATATTGTAGTTTGATTAGTCTTGTAGCTCATCTGTTTTTTTTTTTTGGTAATGATAAAGTTTAGGTAAGTTGGGCCTCGGGGGCTCATCAGGGTTAGGGCATGCCTCCAAGCTCAGAAAGCACTTATAGAGGTACTTACAAATCGCCCACCAATAAGGTCCTCACATCGGCAATGGGATTCGAACTCACGACCTTGTGGGTTATGAGCTGACTACTTACCAACTAGGCCAACTCTTGTTGGTAGCTCATCTGTTAATATAGTTACTCGCTTGCATTGTGGGTTGAGGCCAGTGCATTTTAGAATTTCTTTCTTTATGTCATGGGCCTGTCATGGGCCTATAATGTAACCCATTGATTATTATGGATAAAATAATCTCACATTGAATTATTTTACAAAATAATTTAAGATATTTTTACATGTTTTTTTCAACTGATTTTTATATTTTTAAGCTTTTTTTTTTGGAATTTTTAACCTAAGATATAATTATCAACGTTGTTTATAGGGAATTGTTTTAGAATGTTAGCACTTCATATTAAGCTGCATTTTTTATTTGTTTCATGTAATAAAGGCTTGTCATTTTTTTGTTTGATGCTGTTTGTTTTGCAAGGCAAGGGATTTTGTTTTGTGCACATTGTTTAGATTAACTAATTTATTTTTGAAATGATGTGACACATGATGAATATATTGTAGTGAATGCTTCCCATACATGGCACAGAGAGTAAATCCTATTTAAAACTCAATAGCTAAATCTTTATTCACTGCAAGCCAATCGCTATAGTTTTTAGCCGTTTGAAATTTTAGTCTATTTAGTTTTCTTAAATGTAGTTGAGTGAGAATCCGAATCAGATTAGCCAGATAATAATATTAAAAATATACTTATATATATAGCTGAATGAAAATTATAAGGGCAAAAAGCCTGATTTTTCATTTTTCTTAAGTTAACTTAATAGTAATTGTTTGAAATTCAATAATTAAAGAAAGCTATCTTTTGCTTCCATTGGTAAACAGCTAGAATACTGTCTCTATTTTAAGTTTTGTTCCAACATTAGTGAGAAATATGCACTTGTTTGTATCAAAATTTATTTGGTAGAGCACGCACCTCTGCTTGAGTCAAACAATGATATAAAGGATAAATGGATTAATAAGGGCTAAAAACTTAATGTTCCCAAGATGTCGGCCTTAACTATGTCGCAAATTAAAGTATAAGGAAGTGTGGTTATCCTTTATAAATAGTGCTCCTTCGGTTCTTAATATAAGACCTATTTAACTAATTTGATTAGATTAAGAAAGTTAGGTAAGTTAGTTAATTATAAGATATATGACACGTTTTTCTTAAAACATCATAATAATCTTTCTTAATGCCCCATCTCCCTCTTCTACTTGATTATAGTTGAGGAAGTATCCATAAAGGTAACTTAGAGAAAATTAGTAAATATGAGAAATGGGTCTTATATTTATGACTAAAACTAACTCAACAATTAGGTCCTATATTAATGACCGGAGGAGTATTACCTAACAAAATTGTATAAATAGATATGGACATCCTATGTTACTATGTATCATAAGGACTAAAGAATTTGTCATGGATTTAATCTTTTTTTTTTTATTGCTTTTCTGTCATTTTCTTGTTATTTATTATTTATGATGGACTGTTCTTGTTCAACTCCAAACCCTTTCAACCCCAGCTTCCATTGGTAGGTAGGCCACACCCTTTCATACATTACATTGCAGATTTTGTATCATATCATATTATTAATGACTTATCAACAATATATCTTGCTACAAATTCGGTTTTAAATGACAATGCTACCCCATTCAAATTTTACAATACTCATGTTGATTGATTAAACAAAATTATGACATACCATTTCATTCTATCGTCAGTGCTTATTCCTATTAAGCTTACTGCAAAATTTTGCATGCAAACAAAATTTTCAATAAATCAACACTTATGCCATCTCCAATCTCCACACAAATTTGCTATAGATTAAATTTCATCAAAGCAGGAAAAAAAGGGTGAAAATACAAAAATTTAAATAAAAATACCAACAACAAAAAACTTTGCTTGCATAAGGTGGAAGATAGGAGGAGACACGCTGGAGAAGTACTTGAGAATGAGAGAGATGATTTCAAGAAAAAGATGTAATAAGAAGGAAAAGAGCTGTGGATCAGAATTTGAGTAGCGAGGGCGACTCTCAGAAGGGCCATTCTTGAACAAACATGTACATATAATCGATGTGCTATAAAAGCTGCTTCAACAAGAGATACATATCAAGTGGCTTGATATTAATGCATCTATCTACTTCGTCACCTAATAACATCAAAGGCTTTCCATAATTTTCTAGGTTCTCAAATCAATAATATACTCTTCTAGTCATATTTATAAGCACTCGCAACATGTTTCTCCAAAATCAATAAAACCTTGAACCTTATTAATTTTGTCTTAAAATTTAATAATTTTTCAACTTCACCTGACTTATATACACTCTATCTGAAAATATAAAGAATTTAATGATGTAACTTATAAATAAATAGAATCAAAATATCTTTTTTGCCTTACAAATAAAATTAGAGTTAAGAGTATCTGGTGCATAAGGCATGTATGTACAATGTGCTGGTTCATGAGTAGCTATTGCCTCTTTGATAATGGTTCTATATCTTCTGGTTTCAATGTTTCATTAAACAGGCAGATACTAGCCTTTGGCATATTTGCTGGGTTCATACTTATTATAAATTAAAGTACATATGTCACCAAAAAAAAAAATTTAAAGTACATATGTACATTATCAGTTGTTTTCTTAAATAAGACATTAACAACCTGAAACACACACACCTACACGAGTGAAGAGATTTTGGATTCTGATGATGAGATGTTTAGTAGGTAAAAAAAAAATATTAATTAAAACTGATGCTAAATACAAAAATTTATGTTTGTGATATGAAGAACAAAATAGATGTATGTGAATTAATGAGGGAGGGATGCATTCACACACGCTCATAAATTTTAAAGGCTTCCTTATGCAATTCTCCCACCAGAAAATGAGGTGATCCAATGTTTCAGTCTCTCTCTAGTTAAGCCCAACCACCTTAATTGTTTTCTACTGGGTTTTCGTGCTATCTTAAGTATCATATTTATTTCTTGTCTCTGGTTCAACATCTGATGGGTGTGTTTGATCCGAGATTTTGCATTGTTACTCATGATCTCTTGTTAGTGTTGAAAAACCATCGTTGACAAAGTAAGAGATCATTTGATTATTAATGATGCCTAAGAGTTTGTTGAACTTAGCTAATTAATAACAGCTCATAGTCATTTCATCTCCAAGACTCCCTCCTTCACAAATATTTATGATCAACGAGTGAGGGGGATTCACATATGATCAACCACAATAAGGTTTAGGGTCTCATCGCCATGAAATATCCCAAAATCAATACCGTCCATCTTGTATTACTCTGAATACAATACAAAACACATTCATATTTATGAATCACAGCACTGGCAAATTCCCCACTTTTGCCATATACGCTTTATTAAAGGCCTCAATACTTTTGATTTTCAAATCACAAGGTCTTACCGTCCAAGCACAACTCTCTAACTAGTTAAGAACATGCATCTGCATACGCATAATATAATGCTTTCCGCTGCTAGCTTCCATCTGCTATGTTCCTTTATTGCTATCCATCACATGACTCATCTGTATCTGAACACAAATTCAAACCTCAACTTACATGTTTTCCCATCCAAAGCTTTAAACATATTTAGCGTGACAAATAATGCATATCAGCACAATTACGTCAGGAATTTAAGATTACAGCCAGCATACTCAGAACCTTTCTAAATTTAGAATTCCAAGCTACATCTAAAGTATGCATAATTTTGAAGGGTAACATAGTACACAACATCAAAACCAAAAGAAGAATGGTTTTGAGCGAATAACATAATTTTTTGTTTGTACACCAAAAAAACATTCCCGTCCAAAGTTGATTTCAAAATTGATTGATAGTGTTAGTATAAACTTTACTTACATCATTGTATCCGCTGCTATGGATCGAAAAATTGTTGCCGTATTTCTATTTTCTTAAGGTGAATGATAATAATAACAATAATAATTAAATTTTGGAGTTATAAGTTTGCTGGATACAGAAATCCTGGGATAACAACTAATTAGACCTAACGAGTAAGTCTACGGAAGTTTAGATCTCTATGATTTGATCATAAGCTCAAGAATGAATCGACAAGTAATATAAAGAGGTAGGAACAAAGAGTTTTCCTTTTTCTTTTTGGAGAAGAACACTAGAATTGTAGATTAACGTTTTAAGTACAAATTTTGGATTTGTAACAGAGACTTCGCTGGGAAGAAACTCTGTTCACTATTTTTTTGTTAAAAAAAAAACCTCTGTTTTATTTTTAAAAAAATGGTTAATCAATAGGGTAAATTTTGTAATATTTGACCATTGGTATATATTTTTAATGTACTATTATGTGTAAATAAGGAAATTGTGGGAGCAAGATAAATGGCGAAATACCTGTGCTTTGGGTGGTAGCGGCTTGTTGGGAGGAGAAGTCAAATTTTGGACATTCATTTATTTGGACTTGTTCGAGTTGTGGAGCATTTATCTTGAGTCCTTTGCAGAAGTGAGTGAGGCTAGGCAATCTTGAAAGTCTCAATATTTCTAGATTTGGAAGCACAAGTTCTTGCGTACTGGCACTGGCTTCATCACTTCTATGTGAAAAGAGCTCCTCCATTCGTGCAGCCTCTGATACCTCAACGAGTTGTAGTTGTGGAAGCATTCCAACTACAACGTTCTTTAGAAGGCATTTCAACTTGTTGCAGCGTTTCACTGTTATGCGCCTCAATTCTGGAAAAGGCAACTGCATGTTAGAGTTGGATTCATGCTGAGCTTCTTCCAATGGCTCTTGCATGATTTCCTCCACTTCCTCACATTCTGTAATTTTCAAAATCCTCAACATTGGAAGGCTTCCCCAAATGGACATGAAGAATATACATTTAAGTCTTCCACATCCATGTACTGCTAAAGAACGAAGATATTGGAAGCTCAAAATTTGAGAGGAAGTGAAAGCCGTGCCTATAAAACTCAGCTCGCTTAGAGTTTGGAGCTCTAATTCCTCCAGAGACAGGATTTCTGGATAGAAACATGGAAGTTGATGAGGCAGTTGGTTGCCGTTGTTGGCGCGAGGCTCTGCTTTCTATGCAACACACAAATGGAGCACATTAACGAACTAACAAAGAAAGAAAGCCAAATAAAGACATTTAACAATTCGGCCAATAATAATTTAGTGTATACATAATACAAAGTAAAGGCAATTCAGGCTCTAAAGTATGAAGTGTTTAAACAGCACTAACTTTTTTTATTTTATTGTCGTCCTCCATGTGAAACAAACAAAACCAACACTCGAATACAACTTACCCGTGTAAATATTATAATCCCCATGCTCCCAGTTGCTCCCATAACTGAAGAAAATTTTGGACGATTCTTCATTTCAAGTTGTCGAACATTCTTTGCGGATAACTTAAATCCTTTGCAGATATCAATAAGACTTGGCAATTTCCTTAGCACTATCCTTTGTAAATTTGGAAGCGCAATTTTGTTGACATTGTCACTACTGCTGTTGGCTTCACTCCTACGTTCAAAGAGCTGCTCTAACTCTGCACATTCTGATATCTCTATTCCCCACAATTGTGGTAGCAATATAGTGGCAGAGGAGGTTGAGAAAAGAGACTTGAGCTTGTTGCAATGCTCCACCATGAAACTTTCTAACTTAGGAAAGCAACTTTGGAATGATTGGTGATCTTGTGTCAGAATGACCTCCAACTCCTCACAATTTTGTACCCTGAGCATCTTTAACATTGGGAGGCTTCTTTCATGGCTATCCTCGCCAAATACGGATTTCAATTTCTTACAATTGTACAGGCACAATTCTTGGAGATGGACAAGGTTTGAAATATGTGAAGGAGCTCCCCATATCAGCCACAGCTCAGGGAGACCTTCTAATTCTAATACTTCCAGTTTTGAACACAACAGCTGCATATACACAAACCAAACAAACACACATCAACATAATAACACAAGACAAGAAGCCGCTTCCTTTTCCAAATCCCAATCATCACTACAACATTTTTGCTTTATAACAATAACTCAAAATTAATGCTTAGCTACGAAACTATATTGCCTATAACTTTAGGCAACATCTCTTTTCTTTTGCATCCTTCAGCGCCAATGTCATGTGGTTTACAATAAAATATTATCAAAATAATTTTTGAATCCATCTAATTAAAAATTAATAAATTTACTAATAAACAAATAAAATTTTTTTTTAAAAAAATGAATGGTTCTTTTTATGCATTGGAAAATAGCAGGCAACATTTCTCGAATGTTGGGAAGAAATATTTAAAGACACATTTACCTTTTAATTACCTATAAAAATATGGAGTAGCTTTTAAATGTTGCAATAAAAATAGTTTTATAGGCAACAATTTTTATGTTGCCTATTTGAAAATTTTAATTCAATAGTTGAAAATTGCCGCCTGTTCTATTTTAGGGAATACTTTTAGACCTGTTATTAAATATTACTATTGTCTGTTCATATGTCAGATTACGCAACAGTTTTAGAACTATTGCATAGTCAGGTTTTACTACAAGTAAAAAATGTCCAAGTGTCCCTTTTCTACATATTCAGGAGAATAATAAGAAATATGAATATAAAAAAAAATTCTAGCCATCTAGCCTATGCGCATGAGCACACACATATAAAAATTAGGGTAACAAACATGTTAAAAAAAAAACTATTTGAACGTCACTTTTTCCCTCTTAATAAAACTAATGATAATTGGAACTGCTCATTTTAGTTCGCATAAACTTTTTATCTGAAATGAAAACATTGATCAATTAGCTGTTATATAAGTTCACAAGGTTGGCTAAAAAACGAAGAAACCAAAATTTAAAAAAAAAAAAGAATTGAATAATCACGCTGTATATATATCTATAAAGTATTGGATTGAAGTGTCTACACCCTAGAAATGAAAAATGTTAAATCCTTTTGACAAAATTCATCCTTTAAAAAAAATTATATGTTCAAATTCCTGTTTTTAAATAAAATTATAATTTTAATAGATAATTTTTCTTATAAATTTTAATTTAGAATTAAAACTTGATAATTCTACTATTATTTTTCTGCACAATTTCCTGGAAAATCCTTACCAAAGGGACAGCAATAAGAAAATTCAAATAGTATTACATGTATTTGTGCCATAAAATTATCTAGAAATCATTAAAATGGGTACATATTTTATATATTCGTTATTAGCATGTTGAATCTCCAATTTTATTTGTCTAAAATGAAGTGAATACAAATATTGCATCATCTTGGGATGCAATATATAATATTTTAATATTCAAAGCAGAAAAAGAAGGAAAAAACTTATCTGTGAGTAGATACTTAAGGATTCCAAGGACCAATAAATTGAGCTGTAATAAAGAGAGAAAAATTCATTTAAAGAAAATGAAACAATTAGCAAAGATGTGAGTACCTGGCGAAGACAATCATCAGAAAAGGATAAACCTTGATAGAAATCCTTGAGACTTGGCACTTCTTCTAGAATCAAACTCCTTAAGTTGGGTAATACATTCTTCGAAAAATCACTCCAATCTATGGCCATTGAAAATAGGTATTTTAACTTGTTGCATCTTTGAACTCGAAGCTTTTTCATATTTCGAAAACATATTTGTGATGAATGAGGAGCATTCAATGGGCTTTGATGTTGCTCTCCTACCTCTGAACTGGATATTATTCCCTCTAACTCATCGCAATCTGATATTTCAAGATCTTCCAATAGTGGCATGTGTTTAAGAATTACAGGGGAGAAAATAGTTTTCAAATTGTTGCACCCACTCACTGTGAATTTTCTAAGATTTTGGATGCTCAATTTTTCCATGGGACCACTCCAAACAAATTTTAGATCGGGCAGATTCTTCAATTCCAGAGCACTTAAGGAAGACGTTAACTTGCTTTGTGAAGTCCTTTTAGTAAAAACATCCCCTTCAAGTCCAAATAGAATGTCTTCCATACTACAATCCTCAACATTAAGTATCTCTAAATTGAGAAATGATAGTGGAGCTGAAACCCCCCCTATTTAATTGATTGTCCTGTGGCAAAGCATTTCACAAATCAAAATAAGATATTCACATTTGGTTCTTGCATCATTTTCATAGATATTATGAATAAAAAAAAACATAGCAATGAAAATTCGAACAAAGAATTTAACAGAGGGCACATGAAAATACATACCATATTTATGGTTGAACCAACAGTGATGTTAACACATGAATCTTTGAATTTGGGACATTTTACGCATTGCAATTCTCTCAAACACGGACAACTTGAATGAATGTTTTTTGGAAAAATGCTGAGCAAATTTTTTAGGCCATTGAGTTTGAGTGATTTCAAAGTAGGAAACTTGATCTGAACCTCTTGATGCTCATCTTCATGTTGACCGAAAGCATATTTTAGTTGAGAAGCCCCAGAAATGCACACCTCCTCTAGCTGCTCAAGGCCTCGTACACAAGAGTTCGAGAATATATATTCTAACTTATCACAATCAATTATGGTCAAACTTTTCAATTTTGAGAACACCAAATATACACTATTGTTTGAAGCTGAAATTATTTCATTGTTAGTACTATCACCATCCTCCTCTATTATATTCTTCAGCTCACTACAACCATTTATATTTAGCTTTTGTAACAATAGCATAGCTCTCACAACACATTGTGGAAACAGCGATGTCAGCTTAGGGCAATGGGATATATGTAGTTCTTGTAATTCCTCAAAGAAGCAAAGCAGAGGAGGACCCACATCACATCTATACAAACAAACAAATTCTGCTTGTTGCAAAAGATCTTTAATAAATGGACTTAAGGCAGAGATTTTTAACTCTTCCAAGGATAAAGCCTTGGAATGAAAATGCATCAAATGTTGATGATCACCACTGGATGTACCATCACTATACTTGTTAATAATTTGAAGTTTATATCTCTTCAATCTAGGAAAACCAGCATCTTTCAATAAACATTTACCAGGTCTTAAAGTTGTTCTGATTTTCTGAACATATAACTCTTGTAGTTGTGTGCATCTTTTTATTATCTTAAAACTTTGCTCCCCAATATAATGTAAATCTAACAGCTTCAATTTACTCAACGCTTCCAATCCTTGTGGCAGATCCTCAAACCGACTATATTTCAAGTCAAGAACTTCGAGTCTTTTGAGGCCTAACACCCATGACAAATCATCACCTAATTGATGGAATCGCAAGCGCAGGGTTCGTAGATTAGTTAGCAAATTCATAGAGTGTGGCAATGATAACAAGTGGGATCTTACAATGCCATCATATAGACAATCAATCTGCAAAACCCTGAGCAATCCCATACCTCCAAAATTTGCTTTCGATAATTCACATTCATCGCCTACATCATTTAGCAGCAAAATCTCTAGTTTTGGAGCATCTAATCGTGGAGGAAATTGGGATTTTTCATTGCACCAAAAAGTGAATGCGTAACAATCTTTTATAGACCCATTTGTTGCCATCTTCATATCCTTCTCAAGATTCACTACAATATTACGATTTTCTTGACGTGATATCCACAACGCTACATCACGAACTACATCATGCATTCTCAATCGGCCTCCATATTCCTCGTAATGCATTAGCAAACAAGAATTCACAAGAATATTTACACATGCATCCACTTTGTTTCTTGCTTCTTCAAGAGAGTCCAATTCTTCACACATGCCCAAACCCATCATGATTCTGAACAAATTTTCAATAGAGATATATGTGTCTTCTGGATACATGCAGCATTTCAAGAAGAGTGACTTAGCTTCGTTGTTCCTTAAATAATCGTAACTCAACCGAAGACAAGAAAAAGCATCTCTGACACCTTCTTCCACATCCATTGGTTTTGAATTCGTTAATCTTTTTAATGCTTCCTTCCATTCTGCTACAGACTTTCCTTTCAAGGAGGCTCCTACGGCTTGAATTGCAATAGGAAGTCCTTTGCATTCCCTTACAATTCCTTGTGCCACACTACTCAATGATTCATCAATAGTACGAGCGTGTTTTTGGAACAATGTCCAAGATTCCTCATTAGATAAAAGCTCCAAGGGAATCTTTCTATCACAATTCATCATATTGCATACTGGTAGGCGTCGAGTGGTAAGAAGGATCTTGCAACCACGATAATCTTCAAGAGGGATACCGACTTTCTTCAAATCAAACATAGCCCACACATCATCCAATATTACAAGAATTCTTTCTCCATTGCTCAATCTCATCGATAAACGTCTAGCTCTTCCTTCATCACTTTGTTCTTCGAATTTCAAACCGGACATATCTGCAATCTCATCTTGAATCTTTCTAATATTCAGGGTTTGGGACACAGTTGTCAATATGACTAGATCAAAAAGGTTTGATTTCTTGGCTTCTTTGCCTACTTCTTTTACCAATGTTGTTTTGCCACAGCCCCCCATTCCATACAGTCCAATCGTACGAACATCATCATCTTGGAGAGCAGCCAACAATTGATCTGAAGCCAGCTTTGTAGACTGGAAATACACAAAATTTCCAGAAGAAAAGTACTCTACATCTGGTATTGGGACGAGGGTAGAAAAGGGATTAAATTCACTCCTTTGATTGAGATTCTTTGTTGCCGCGATCATCTTTGTCATTTGTCTGCACAAACGATATTTCCTCCAAGTAGGACACCTTCCTTGACAGCAACTATTGCTATCCTTCATTTGCTGCTCCAATTTCTGCACCTGATCCATGTGACTCCTCACTTCAGCTAACCACTTGTCAACAGCATCAGCAATTTTTTCAGTTCTCTTACGGGCTTCTCCAACACGTGCTTGAACTCCATCTTGTGTTGATGCAAGCTTCTGCTTTTCAGTTTCAAGAGTTTTTGTAATGCTGCCCGCACAAAACAAATATTGTCCTTGACGCACCAAAGGGGCCACCGAATATTCAGCGAGTTTGGCAATAACAGATACGACAATCTCTGCCATTTAAGCCAAAACTACCTGAAGGAAGACAAGCGGATCAAAATCCATCTTTATGAGTTGTAGGACTAAATCAGTCGTTGGCAATCTCATGCAGACTCTGATTATAGTAGCATGATCTTCTAATATAAAAATACTAAAGAAAAATAGCGGATCAAAATTTTTGCTAACGCTTTTTACTCACAAAAAAAGCGCCACTCTACAACGAAATAAAATATATTTTAAATCATATGATATTTATACAGGAAAGTAACGTAAAAGAATGGATTAGCGGAAGAAGTATAACGGATAATTTGTTTAATTAAAAATTAAAAGATATAATTAATTTATAACATGTAAAATTAACAGAATAATAAAATAAAGGTTTTGCTCCAAAAAAAATTAAAATAGAGGTTAGTTTTTATAATATTGTTAACAAATTTGATAAATATTTTAATATTATCCGTCCACCGGACTCAAGCAAGCAAGCAGTATTAGGAAACACGATTTTTAATTAGTGTTAATATTATTGCATTAGAAAGAAAATTTTAGACGCAAACTTGTGAGTTGCAACATAACACAAAAACAAATAAATAAATAAGGCAAGCAAGCGAAGAAAACACTAACCTCAGCCTCAGTTATATAGGATGAAGATGACAGAGACACTAGCAAGGTCCCAACAGGTGAATCCAATATCTGAACTCTCTCCGATGTGGCAACCTCAAGTCTGTAATTACCCCCAAAAAAAAAAAAGATGAATAGTGGTCCAATGGAAATCAATTAACTTCGAATGTCCTTATTAATTAGTAGTAATCCATTAGCCAAAAAAAAAAGGTATAACGAATATTTTTCCATACATACATAACGTATGTAAACATTTTTTCTTCTCTCTACACACACACTTTATAAAAAAGAAACGTGAAAATGAATGAGTTTGACTCTTATACATGCTCCCAGAAAACGTTTTTATTGCCTCTCAAATTCTTATTATAAGCACATAATAATAATTTTATATAAATTAATAAAATTACTTAAAATTGATTTTTTTTATACAATATAAAAATTATCTTCAACAAAAGTTATTAGTTAAAAAATTTGGTTAATAAATTATAAAATTTTAATTTTTTTTTATAAACTAGAAAATTTTAATGTTAGTTAAAAACATTGAGCCAAAAAAAGGTTAATATTTGGTTAATATTTTAGTTATAATAGGCTGGAGAGGAAATATATTATCGCAAAACCTTTCATACCATTGATCGCATTTTATGGGTCGCATTTTATGGGTCTGACTGGCTTTCTTGTTTTTCTTTTTTTTTTAAAAAAGGGTTATGGGGTTTTATGAATGGCCCTATTTCCTCGTATTTAACCCAGAAGAGACGATGATGGACTCCCAACAGACACGGCTTCTCTCCTTTTACTGTTCGCTGTCATTCTTTACGCCCAAAACTATGCCATTTCAACGGAAAATGAGGGAGGATGTCATTTTTTTTAAGGGAAATCTAATATTCTAAAATAATTTTTTAAGTATCATTTAGCATTCTAAATTAATTTTAAGTATATTTAATATTTTAAAATATTTTTCTAATGACAGCCAGTATCTAACATTTAGCAACCCAAAATATTTTTCATTGCCACCTAGCATCCTAAAAATTTTAGTAACACCCAGTGTCTAGTATCAATCACGTGGAAGAATTTATTTTTCAGTAGCAATTGATATTCCAAGCTAATTTTTAATCTATCCAGCACCTTAAAATATTTTTTTAAGCAACACTTAACATCTTGAAATAATTTTTGGTGCAATATTTTAGGGTGTTAAATATATTAGAATTTAGTTTAAGATACTGGCCACTACAAAAATAAAAAAACTCTACTATATTGGATTCTAGACAGTGGGTGTTACAAAAAAGTATTTTAGGACGCTGAGTGAATAAAAAAATTATTTCAAAATGCTAGATATCACTGGAAGTACTTCAAGATATTAGGTGTTAGAAACTGGATGCCACTAAAAAAATATTTTAGATTACCGAATGCGTTAAAAATTAATTTAGGATACTAAATAAATATTTTAAAATGCTAGCCTTTTTTTTTAATAAAAAAAAACTCCCCGGGTTTTCCTCAAAACGGTGAAATTTTAGGGAAAAAGAGTAAGAGAAAAGGAGAAAAGCCGCTTACGGGTCCGAGTCCAACGGCCTTACGCCGAATATGTGAACTCTCGCTGCAATCACAAATTAAAGTTTGCAGGCAAAACCCAGATAATTAAATTTTTCCTGTCGAGAACAAGTTTAGAAGTATGTTTAAAATATATTCGTCTAAATATTAATTTTTTTTAATTATCGTTACTACTTTCTAAACCGATTATATACATACCATGGGTATAAAAAAATATATATTTCAGACTGGTGTTAAAACAATAAACCACACTTGATTTTTTTTTTTGGGGCCAGCTATACCACACTTGATTCTCCATAACTAGTTTAGATTATTTTAAACTAAAAAGTATTTTAGGACGCTAAGTGAACAAAAAAATTATTTTAAAATACTAGATATCACTGGAAGTACTTCAAGATATTAGGTGTTGGAAACTGGATGCCACTGAAAAAAATATTTTAGAGTACCGAATGCGTAAAAAATTAATTTAGGATACTAAATAAATATTTTAAAATGCTAGGCTTTTAAAAAAAAAAACTCCCCTGGTTTTCCTCAAAACGGTGAAATTTTAGGAAAAAAGATGACAGCGAACGGTAAGAGAAAAGGAGAGAAGCCGCTTCCGGGTCCGAGTCCGAGTCCAACGGCCTTACGCCGAATATATGAACTCTCGCTGCAATCACAAATTAAAGTTTGCAGGCAAAACCCAGATAATTAAATTTTTCCTCTAGGAACTAGTTTAGAAGCATGTTTAAAATATATTCTTCTAAATATTAATTTTTTTAAAATTATCGTTACTACTTTCTAAACCGATTATATATATACCAAACTTAATTCTCCATAACTAGTTCAGATTACCTACTTTGTACCTACTAATTTGAATCTTGATCGAAACTAATCCAAGCACGTGATAGCAGTTAAAGCGCATGCAAGGAAAAAAAAATCAAATGGCCTGCAAGATTTGGAAGTAAGAATTCAACTAACCAAGGGATGGAGGAATGTCGTTGTATTGAGGCTTGACAGAGAGTGGCTCACCGGCGACGGTGAACGACAGTGTGCCTGCGAGTAGTGGAAGACGCAGACTGGGAATAAGTGATTGATAGAAAGATTGGTTGTGAGTGGGCGATTTGCTTGAAGACGAATTGGGAAGGATGAATGGAATCAGAGGTGATGAAGGGCTTGAGAGAGAAAAGAGAAGAGGCAGAGAGGAAACCAAGTTGAGGTTGGGGCTGAAAGGAACTGATTTCTCATCTTCATTTTACTCTGATTGATGAATTCCCTTGAATTTTCGTTATTGCCTTTGGTTTTGGGGTCAATGTGTTCTCACATAAAGTCATGTGGCTTAATTTGTCGTTGTTCGCTATCGTGCTTTCCACGAAGGAGCGCCCTCATCCTTTCTAAAATATAAAACTTATACTCGTTTCATACTATTTATAAATTGTTTTTAACATATTTTATTAGAATAAAAAAATTTGAAAATTTATTTATTTATTCTATCTTAAAATTTAATAATTTTTTAATTTTATTTCTATTTAATATATACATTTTCTTTAAAAACAACATTCTACGTAATTATAAATAAAACTAAAACAATACTTCATATTTAAAAAAACAATACTTCATATTTAAAAAATATTTAATAAATTAACTATTTTTTTTAGTTATAATACTATACTATTTTTGATTTATAATGTAAGTCACTTTAAATAATTCATCATAATTAAGAAGTAATGATTAACTCATAAAACATTTTAAATTAAATTTTTTAAAATATTATTCATGTTAAATTAGGTTTTGATATTTTTTTTAAACATTAATTGTGAGAACAAAATCTATAAATAATTATTAATTACTCGTGATTTATATTTTTAGATCAAATCATGCTTATAAAAACAGGAGGGACTAGATGGTGAAAGTGATTTATATTATAAAGAGGAAAGATGTGTGTTGTTGAATTGTTGATGGTATTGTGGGTCCTTCTTGCCAGCAATTGATTTGTCGCTTCCAGAAACTAAAGTGGTGCCCGGCAATGACGGCAACTAGCTCCTTGTTTCCCTTCACCTCATCTGTCAATTTGTTGTCGCCGGCAAGTATACGCCAATCACCAGGGGGCTTTGCATTTCTAATTTATCTAAATGATATCATGCCTAAGCTCGGAGGCAATCTTAACCGGATTCGTAATTCTACCTTATTTTCCAGATACATGATCATCTTCCCTTGCAAGTTTATTGTGTTCAAAAACAATTCTGCCGATGGAAGGAGAAAATAGATCTTCTACAAATGTCATTCTATCTTATTTTCCAGATACATGATTCATAATTTATAAATAATTATAAAATGTTGAGTATAAAAAAATTAAATGAAACAAGAAATTGAATTAAAAAATTGATTTTCTAGATATAAAATATTTTATACTTTATAGATAAAAATTGGTAAAAAATAAATACCAAGTAATGATAATATGAATTTAATGCCTACTTGTGTTTGCATAAAAGATTTTTTTGGCCAGTGCCCCCATGTGCCACAACGGCGCCTATTCTCCTGTGGCAATAAGGAGGCTGAAGGTTCGTTCCTTCATATGGGGAAGGCGGGTGCGCGCGAGCTTGTCATTGACCCCTACAAAAAATATATAAATATGTACTACC